ATCAGGAGGCTGAACCCTCAACAGTCTGCAGAATCCCCTCACTGATTACACTGTAAATGATAATCTACCTCAACCAAAATCAAAGTAGACTATCACTCACCCACACCAGATGGAAAACTCTACAGATTGTCGGTTCACACCCCATCACAAGTCAGCAAAACATATATATATATATATATATATATATATATACAAGGTCACCAGCCCGTACGTACGGAGGTCCCCGGGCAGACCTCCGTACCTACGGGCGTTCGGGGTCCCATATGGGGTCCTAACCTCACGGCGTTGGCCCCTCCCAAAAATTATTTCGGGGCCTAAAAATAATTATGTTTTTCTGAATATGTTTTTGTGAGCTCTATATGACGTGAGGGACATGCCTGTAAAGTTTCAGGTCATTTGGCTAAGCCAAAAAATAATTAAAAATCGCCAAAGATGGCGGTGTCAAAACGTGCTCACCCACATATTGTTTCACTTTTCACTTTTTGTTTTCACTTTAGTTCGGGGTCTAAACAGTTTTATTATTTTTTGAAATTTTTTTATTGGTTTTTATATTATGTGAAGTACATAGCTGTTACATTTTAGGGCATTTAGCTATGCCAAAAATAAATAAAAAATCGCTAAAGATGGCGGTGTCGAAAACATTCTCGCGCACTCATTAAATTTAATTCTCTTTTTATTTTTTATTTTTTTTTATTATTAGTATTCGTTTTCCGTATTTTATTTTTATTTCAAATTTGGTAGGGAATCCGGATGTAATGCTCGGACAAATCTTGTTTAGTTTATTTTTCTCCATAACATATATTTTTTTCAAATTTGTTTGACGACTTTTTTTTTTTTGTTTTTTTTTTTTTTGGGTCCGCGTTCGGCCCGAACGGCCGAACGCATCCCCAAGGGGTTCCATACGTTCGGGCGTTCGGGTTCGGGCGTTCGGCCCGTCCCGAATGCCGGTTACCCTGTATATATATATCATATATATATTTTAAATGTGGTATTTTGCCAAGTTTTAGTTCTAGGTTTACGAACACTTCAGCATTCATCTATACCTGGTTTTCAAATTTTGGGTAGCGGCATACTTGGTCGGCTTTCTCTCCTCCTTTCCCTTTTTTGTTTTTTTTCCTCCTCTCTTTTCGATTTGTTTGAGATTTGGGTTTAAGT